TGGTTAGCGCTTGGGTGGCTCGTGAAACCAAGGCCGCAACCCTGCACCACACCAGAGGTCCCGTGCGCACCCCGAAAAGGACTGTCTTGTTGTAGAAGTAACGTCCGTCTGCTTGTCCCGCCAAGTACCGCCGCTCCCTTGGCTTTGTAGGCAGTTGCTTGAAAGCGTCTTTGAAGTCCAACGTGAGCCAAAGTACTTCCTCTTGTGGCTGAAGTCCTGATTCAAACAAAGACACCGCATCTTCGATGGCATCTTTCAGCCGAGGTAGTACTAGCCGCTCCAGCACTTTGATTTTGCTGTTCACACCACTTCTGCGCAAATCGTGCACCAAGCGGTATTTGTAGCCACCACCCGGCTTGAGCTTGACGATTACACCTATGGATGACAGCACCAAAGGCCCTACCTGGTCTTCGAGCGCTGCACGGTCAGCGTCTGCCTGAGCAAAACCTGCGTCGACTTCTTGCCTGAACAGTTTGTCGGCATGCTCACGGTGCTCTTCGCAGGACTGGTAATTGTACTCCGCGCCGCTCAACTCGTGACAAAACTCTAGTCGTGCTGCTTCGCCAAGTTGCTTCTCCGCCGGCACCGCTGGAAACACTCCGCTGACAGGGATTTCTTCTTCGACACCAAGTGGCGTCCCCTCCTTTGGCCATTTTGCTGCAGGTAGATCTGGGTCACCGCTGGCAAGTACAAGCGCCTGCAGCAACTCTGACCACAGGCCAGGCTCACGTGGAATGTCCTTCAGGTTCAACAAGGAGGCCAACTTGCTTTGCACCAGCCGCACGTCTGCGTCGCTGTAAACGGGTTGGTCTCGGCCAATGGACTGGACGATCTGAAGCATGTTGGGGTTCTCCAGAAGCACCTGGTCCAAGCACTGCCTTACTGCCAGCCCCACTGTCTTCCATCCAGGCACCTTCTGTACCGAACGATGTACAGCCCGCAAGCCTCCAATGCAGTCTTGGTTCTCTTGTTCGCGCTGTCTCTTTCTTGAACCCTCAGGAGCGCGTGCTTCTTCGTCGCGCCATGGCTCCGTGTCCTTAGGACAGTTGCGCGGTTCTTGTACCAGCGCCTTGTGGTAAGCCTCCGCGACAACTTCACAGAGTCCCTGTGGGTACTCCGACGCCAATGCAGGGTCCTGTCGCGCTTGCAGCCTGCCATGTTGGTGCTCTGGTGCACCTGGACAATCGCGAGCCAAGACTTGCAGAAAAGCTGCGTTCGTAAGCCACTTGGTCGAGTTTCTGTGCTTTCCAGCGAAGCAGCATTGGTCGCACTTGAGCTGATTGACCCCTGCGAGCTTCAACAAGGACTGGAAAGGCGGGTAGCTCCACAGCAGTGACGTTGCCGGCCCTTCGACACTGAACCAGCCCCCAGCTCGGCGCTGTGCCTTCGCGAGTTGTGCTGTCCTTGCTGCTAACAAGTTGGCTTCCACCACCTGCCTGGGTCGTGGTGCTAGACCTTGCGGCCGGCGTACTGTTCTGAGTTGCTTCGCCTTCGCACTGTGCCCACAACTCCTGGCCTTGCTAAACGTTCTTCGCGGAAAAGCCGCGTGTAACCACCGCACTTTGCCCTCTCGCACTAAAAGCTTTAAACTACGGAAAACACTCAAGTCTAAAAGGTCAAAACAGTTGCCAAGTTTCCTTGCAACTTGTGCGTCTGGAACAGCCAAGACTCGTGCTCCCCACGCTCGCACTGCGCGGTTCAGCCCGGCCGCCCCAGCGAAAAGCCCCAAGAAGCCAGCTTCACTCTGCTCAGTCTCTGTGGCCGTTCCAGTTTTGCCATGACTAAATGAATTCTGCTTGCACGTCTCAGCGCCTGAAGCTGCCACTCTAGCCTTCAGCGCTTCCAACCTTCCCTTCAGGAGGGGCAGATCCACTGTTGTCGGCAGCTGCGCTGTGCCTTCCGCCTCTCACTGTCGCCGCTGGTTGCGTCCCCGGCCTCCCTTGCCTTTGCCACCTCCGCGGCCTCGAAGCGTGCTCGTGCCCTTCTCCTCGGGGTTCCAACCAGGGACTTGCGGGCAGTGGATTGATCGATGCGGCTGCCGGCACCACTCACAGACATGAGCCATGCCCTTGTCGCACTTGTCGTTGCAACATCCATCCGGTTTGCCAGACCAGTCGTAGCAGATGTTGAGGCCTCCTTTGGACTTCAAGTAACGTCCATCCTTCCGCTGAGGATCAAACTTCCGCTTCTCCCCTCCGCCGGGCCTGAACCCCCCATCAGGTGGTGGCTCAGGAACTGAGGGCATGGCCCTGGGGCCATTGCACTGGTAGCGAAGGGCTGGCTGCTCGAACTCTTTGCGCCAGAAGTCGCTGCAAGAGGCACTTGCTTTGATCACCGAGTTCCAAGGCTGCTTGACATCGTACACTGCCAAAGTTGGATGGGCCAGGTGAAAAGAGTGCTGGCGACGCTGCTCCTGTGCCCACCACTCACTTCGACAACGGATGTCAGCCTGCGCAGCCAAATGCCACACATCTGGGTGCTCCGTCACTCGGTTGCGGAACTCAGCACTGTACCTGTCCAACACTGCCGGCTTGGCAATGTCGAGCATGATGCAAGCTGTGCGAAAGATGCGCCAACTTTCTTCCCAGGCATGAATATTGGCTGCACCCGGCAGCTCTACTGCCTTCCACTGCCCATCCTTCAGTGCTTGAGAAGTAAATTTCATCGCTCTCGCAATCCGGTCCCCGTAAGGACCCCAGACCCCCATGTCTACAAAGGGTGCCTGTCCGCTTTCTACTTTTGCACGTAGGCAGCTCAACTGACTGTCAGTCACCTCCTCCTTTTCCAAAGGTGAGTCTCCTGTGCTAGCCACGTACCGTTGGCGGCACGCTAGCAACTCGACAGTGCTGAGCATCTCGCAGTCTTGATCGGCGCCTTGATCCAGCACTTGGCTCAACTTAAGCTTCACGCGTGGGGCCGAAGGTGCAGCAGGAGGAGTTGGCAGTGTTCCTAAGGACAGCTGCGTCGTGCTTGCGACTCCTTCGAAGGCTGTGCCGAGTCCAAACTTTTCCTCACTGCATTCACCAACAGCCGCATCTGCCCCTTTTCAAAGGCGGTTAGCTCCCTGGTGCCGATCCGAGCCTGCGACAGAGCCTCACTCCACTCGTCAGGGAGCACTGCCGCTAGCAAAGGCATCTGCGACATGTCAGGGTTTCCGAGTTGCCGTGCGACTGATCTCATCAGATTTATGGGAACCGCTGCCCATTGCATCGCATCGCTGAGCGAAGTCCAAGTCTCAAGTACAGCATCGGACGGCAACAAGGAAGCCATGGCACCACCCACGTATCAAAAATTCATCCTTGCGCCAAAATGGCACGGATGGGATTCCCTTCCCTCCCCCCCAGTACATGTCGTGACACTCTCAATTGTTAATGCGGCACTTGCATGCCTTCTCGCCAGCCACCCCACAGAAGAGAAGGTGCCCCACTTTCTCAAGAGCTCCAAACCCTCGGAAAGCAAGAGCCAGCCGAAACCCTGCTCGAAAGAAGGTCGCTCACTCCTCCACATGGAGCCGAGATGCTTGTTACATACATACATACATACATACATACATACATACATACATACATACATGCATGCATGCATGCATGCATGCATACATACATACTCATGTACATACATGTGTATACATTTCAGCCGCACAGATGCTACTCAGTATTTCCAAAGCCAAAACGTTCTTGAGGGCTAGAGCCTGTGCCATTGCGCTCCTCTTCTAGGGCCCGGGCCGTATATTGGACACAAATGAAGCCCACCATGAATGACTCCTCAGCTGACCACGGTGGAGTCACAGCCTTGTATGGTCCGCTTCTCATCGCTGCACCATCTGCCAAAACCATGACATCCCATGTCGATGCCTCTTGGAGCCACCCATCCCGGACTCTCTAGAACCAAGCTGCTGCCACCGTGAAGAGTGACAGCAGGACATAGTTTGTAGGGCTCTTGCGCATCGTCTGCGGACCTTAATCGTGTCACACATGTGGGTTTGATGACAAGGTACTACTGGAGCTCGCAATAAGGTTTACCGGTACTTCCGAGACACGACTCCTTCCATCTGCTTTCACAGCTTGTTGAATGTTCTCCAAAGTATGCACTGAGAGCGTGGCAGCATATGAAGACTAGCATCGTTGAAATCGTAACTGCAATGGAGAACGTCATCACAATCCTTGCTCGACCAAACTTCACAGCAAGGCACTCGAGGAATATTTCGAGTTCAAGCTGTCTCTGCGCAAGGCTCGGAATGACAGCGGGGTTGGTCTGACGCAGTTGGAGGGCATACCTCATAGTCCTCAGCCAGCAACTTCTATCAAGGCTCCTGCTGCTCCGTGCAATTAAAAGTGAGCTCTATCGAAGGCTGTGATTTGCATTGACAGGTTGAAATTGCCAAGAAGTCTCCCAGCAGCGATTGCCGTTGTCCTCGGCTGACGTGACTAGACTTGCATGTAACAGACTCTGGCGCCTGCAGTCTCTGGTACATGTAACTGAATCCTCTTGGACCGCTTGTGACCAGTGCTTCGGCCTGGCTCACTATCAACCAGGCCTGTGGCCTATGCGATGCTAAGCGGGCAAAGGTCACAATCAGCTGCATCGAGAGAATGCCATAGACTTTGCGCACGAAGCCATGCCGCACGACAGTGTCATGGATACCTGCCAGTTCCTGCAGCGCGCAGAACTCATGCCCGTCCGCACAATGCAAACACTACATCAAGGGACCTGCCGGGTTCCAGCATACATAAGCTAGAAACCAAGCCGGACAATGGCCTGACAGTGCTGCTAGGACCCACTTTGTGCAACCAAACAACGTCGCCCTCTCCACTCAATGGAGTCTGCTCGTTCATCTCCATCGTGAGGCAAGGCAGGGGTAGAGCCTAGTTAAAGCCTAGAAACCGCTTGGAGCCCAAAATCATCGAGAAGCACCATGCGAATCACGGCAAGTACGGCATTCACGAAAGGCTCAAAACTGCAGATTATCCCCTTCGCCGTCCGCAAAGCATGCACGCTGCCTCTTTCACATGGTGTAGGAGAGCCTGGCGACTCTCCTGTGGTCAGGAAGGCAAACCAGCAACACACCAGGACTGGAGTCACGCATAGCTGCACGTCACCACGTCCGTCGCACCCTGCTGCTTGGAATCGGTCGATCAGTTCAGGTCTGGCGCCTCCGTCTCTTTGCGTCGCTTTTCCTCAGCATCGCGCAGCTCCTGCGCATCGCAGAAGTCTTTCGTCGTGTCCCCTGCTAAGCGTACCATTGCTCATGCGCAGAAACCCACGACCGGCGATGCCAACGGGACTGCTTAGCTGCAGCCTTCAAGGTCTTCAGGTTCTCCAGGGCCGCCTCAAAATGGCTCAGGCTCAGAGACTCCCGAAGAGGATCTCAGCCCAGGATGAGCCGGGGCCTTGAGGTCGAACGCACAGCCGTGCGCCTTCACCAGCTCGGCCTAGAAGGAACATCCAGAAGCGGCCCATAACATACCCACACCAAGATGTGCCTTTTGTGATACGTGAAAGATATACGGTGTGTATATATGTATGTATGTATGTATGTATGTATGTATGTATGTATGTACGTATGTATGTATGTATGTACATAACAT